TTGCCATTGTTTGTTGTTGCCTGTTGGCTTGATGCAGCTGATCTTCCAGCTCACTGATTCTGTCTTCAGCTGTGGTCATTCTACTGTTAAAGGCACAGAATGAGTTTTTTATTTCATCTAGGGAATCTTTAATTTGTGTCATTTCTGTGCACAGCTTTCCAATTTCTGCTCTCATTTCATTTCTTCCTGGATTTTCTCAATTGTCCGATCCATTGTTTCTTTCATGTCCTCCTTCAATTTACTGAATATCTGTCTGTTTCACTGAGTTCATTGAACATCTTCATGACTTCATATCTGAATTCTTTGTCAGAGAGGTCCCTTAGGTGAGTAGCACCTACAAAGGATTCTGGACTCTTTTCATCGTCCTCCCCACGTGGTGGGGATTTGCGTTGTTTCTTCATGTTGGTGTGTAGATATGGGGACTAGATTTCTTGGTATGACTAAACTACCTGCAGCAGTGTGAGAGTTGGCCCGCCTAAAATTAGGCCATGCCCACTTCTACCAATGCCACGCCCACTTCTGAAGAGGCCACGGCCTCACAGGAACCTGGTGTGGGGGCAGGGGGTAAAGGCTGGGTGGAGAAGAAGACCAGCACTGCTTTGGGGATGAAGAGGAAGAGGCAGAGGCTCAGGGCTGCTTTTGTCCCAGGCTCCGAGAGGACACTTGGGATGCTTGCAAGGAGAAAGCCAGTTCCTGGGTTCAAATACCAGCGGATAAACTGACCTGGGTGGGGAAGATCAGAACAGCTTTGGGGACGAAGAGGAAGAGACAGAGGCTCAGGGCTGCTTTTGTCCCAGGCTCCAAGAGAACGCCTGGGGTGCTTGCAAGGAGAAAGCCAAGTCCCGGGTTTGAATACCAGCAGATAAACTAACCTGGGTGGGGAAGAAAACCATCACAGCTTTGGGGATGAAGAGGCTTTAAATAAGTTTTAATAAAATTTCCTTGCTTCACAAGAACAACAACAATACAAAAACAGAGAAGACTGTAGCACTGTCTTCTCACTGTTCATCAATTTACTGTTACTGTTTTTGTTGCTACTAGGTTTTTTTTTTTTTTGGTATATCGAATACGTCACAGGAAGCTTACCAGGCTTTGCCATGCGGGCGCGAGGAATAGCTTGCCGGGCTCTCTGAGAGGGGTGGAGGAATTGAACCCAGGTCCCCAGGTCAATCATGTGCAAGGCAAACACCCTACCCTCTGTGCTATCGCTCCAGACCACTGAGAAGACTATGCCATTCCAAATATTGCCTAAAACATCATATTCCCAGGAATCAACTAAACAAGAGGGATGAAAGATTTATATGGTAGAAACTACAAATCACTGCTAAGAGAAATAGAAGAAGACACCAGGAAATGGAAAGATAAGAAGAACTGGAAGAACTGTGGTCAAAAATGACCATCCTAACCAAAGTATTATACAGATTCAATGTCATACTCATTAAAATTCCAATGACATTTTTAAAGACTTGGAACTCTACTGATATGTGACTGGAACCATAAAATTTCCCAAATAGCTAATGCAATCCTAAGGGGAGGGGGAAGAATGGAGATTATGTTTCCCACCTTTGAACTATACTACAAAGCTATAATAATCAAAACTATACAGTACTTGAATAAAGCCAGATCTGCACACAATAGGACATAATGAGAGTCCTGAGTTAAGCTCCCAAATTTATGAACAGTTTATATACAACAAAGAAGCTAAGTGTATGAAGTGAAGCAAAGAAAACCTCTTCAACAAATGCTGCTGGGAAAACTGGATAGTAAAAACTGAAATTAAAACTGTACCTCACACCATACACAAAAATAAACTCAAAGGAGATTGCAAATCTGAAGATTAGCCCAAAATTTATAAGATACATTAAAGAAAATATCAGGAGAACTCTCCGGGAAATTTACCACAGAGGTATCTTCAACAAAATGAACACAATGGCAAAGACAACAGAAACTAAAATAAACAAATGGGACTACTCCAAATTAAAAAGCTGCTTATATGCAACGAGACTCAGCAATAATAAAAAGACACCCTACTGTCTTTTTGAAACATTTTCACATGATATATCAGATAAAGGGCTAATATCCAAGATCTGTAAAGCACTCACAAAACTTAACAACAATAAATCCAGTGACTCCTCCCGCCTCCACAAATGGGTTAAGAAGAAAAACAGGCACCTTCCCAAAGAAGACATACAAGTGGCCAGTAAGCATATGAAAAGTGCTCATCTTCAATAATGATCAGAGAAACATAAATCAAAACAACACAGATATATTATCTTACACCAGAGAGAGTGGCACATATCAAAAAGCCTGAAAACACCCAGTGTAGGGGGAAATGTTGTTCACTGTTAGTGGACATGTCACCTGGTTCAGTCTCTATTGAAAGCAATATGAAGATCCTTTTTAAAAATAGCAATAGGATTTCCACACAGAACAGTGATAATACTTCTTGGCATCTATCCCCAAAACACAAAAAATAGATTCAAAAGAATATATGCAGAGCTACGCTCACCACCACTCTTAGCACTACAGCCAAGATACAGAAACAACCCAAAGATCCAAATACAGATGAATGGATCAAGAAGTTGTGGCATACATCATTAATCATCAGGGAGATGCAGATCAAAACCACAATGAGGTATCATTTCACACGACAGAGACTGGCCCATATCCACAAGAACAAAAGCAACCAGTGCTGGCGCGAATGTGGCGAGAAAGGGAAACTCCTTCACTGTTGGTGGGAATGCTGACTGGTTCAGTCCTTTTGGAAAACAGTACGGACGATTCTCAAAAAATTAGAAATTGAGCTCCCATTTGATCCAGCAATACCACTCCTGGGAATATATCCCAGAGAGGCAAAAAAGTATAGTCGAAGTGACATCTGCAATTGTTTGTTCATTGCAGCACTCTTTACAATAGCCAGAATCTGGAAAAAACCTGAGTGCCCGAGAACAGATGACTGGTTAAAGAAACTTTGGTACATTTACACAATGGAGTACTATGTAGCTGTTAGAAAAGACGAAGTCATGAAATTTACATACAAGTGGTACTACATGGAAAGTATCATGTTAAGTGAAATGACTCAGAAAGAAAGGGATAGACATAGAAAGATTGCATTCATCTGGGGAACATAAAGTAACAAAATAGGAGACTAACACCCAAGAATGGCCGAGATTAGTACCAGGAATTTTACTCCATGGCTTGGAGGCCAACCACACATGCCAGGGGAAAAGGGAGCTCAGATAGAGAAGGGAACACCAAATAAAGGTTTTGGGACGATCCTCCCAGGATGGGAGAAGCATGCTGAAAGTAGACTATAGACCAAACATGATTGTCACCCATTGCCTCCTTTGCAAACCACAACACCCAATAAGAGAGAGAGAACAAAAGGGAATGCCCTGCCACAGAGGCAGGGTGGAATGGGGGGGATGGGGGTGGGAGGGATACTGGGATCCATGGTGGTGGGAAATGGACACTGGTGGAAGGATGGGTATTTGATTACTGTATAATTGAAACCCAAGCACAAAAATTTATAAGTCTACAACTGTACCTCATGATGTCTCACTAATAAAAATAAAAAATAAATAAAATTTTTTTAAAAAGTTGTGGCATATATATACAACGGAATACTATGCAGCTTTACTGAACAAAATCACGCAAATTTCTTTGAAAATCATGGTATTTAAATCAAATGGGTGAAAAACTTATGCAATCTGCTGCAACATGGATAGAACTTGATGATTGTCATTCTGAATGAAGTCAGTCAGAAGGAAACATACAGAATGATCTCTCTTATATGTCTCTCATATGGGACTTACAGATAAAGTAACAACAAAGGGTCAAAAGCACACTGATCTACACAACTGAGTTATGTGTGTACATGCGGTATGAGTGAGGAGTCTAGAAAGGAAGGGGACTGGGATCCTTGAGGGAGAAAGTTGGGTACACTGTTGATTGGTGCAGTAGTGGGATTACGTGCATGGGAAACCATTTACAGTATTATAAATCACAAAACCTCAATTAATATAAAATAAAAGTAATAATGTGTTTATTAAAGAGGCAAGTTAGAGGATGGGAAAAAACCTAGAGGTACGGAGACGCTGGTGGTGGGATTTGTTAGAACACTGTATTCCTGAAAATTATTAAAAACTTTGTAAATCATATCATGGGACCTAAATATCATTTTAATGTATAATGGTACAAAAGAGCAAATTTTTAAAAAATCACATGCCACACTGAGGTGAGCCCAGAAACAGCTGGCTTTGGTGCTGGGGGTTGAATTATTAGTCAGGATCACCATCTTGTCCCATCCCCCAAGGTCAGGGTTATCCCTGCCCACAAAGAACAAGACTGCAATGCTACACTCCACAGTCGTGCATTTCTTCACCGCTCCAAAATTTAATGTGAGCATTCAGAGACATTCTAATTGTAGTCACGTAGCCACACAAAAATCATATGCTAAATATGAAAAGACTAGAAATAGTAAGAATAAATGTTATTTTTACATTTTGTGTCTCTTCAATTCGTTTATCAAAATTATGACCAAACTACATATCTACTTCATACAAAAATAATGTCCAACTTCAATTGTTTTTGTGAAATTTACAAGTCAGGGTCAGAGAAATAATACAGCAAGGTAACATAGCGCTTGCCTTGCCAGACTGACCTGCGTTCAATCCCCAACACCCCATATGGTCCCCTAAGCCCCACCAGGAATGATTCCTGAGTGAAGAGCTAGATATCCTAAGCACAGCCAGATGTCCCCATCCCCCAAGGTCAGGGTTATCCCCCACCAAAAATAAATAAAATTTACAATTCAGGTTATCATTATAGTAATAGAAAATCAAGTAACAGTTGCCAGCATTTAAGAAAAAATATATCATCAAATTTATAGAAAAGTAAATATATTCTTGGCAGGAAAAGCAATATTTTATACCATGAAGTGAAGAGGGGAGAAATGCTCCAAATACAAAAATCTTAAATTAATAAGGCCAACTACTCACCCCCTATTACTGACAATTGCCTTTTTCAAGTGAATGTAATTTGCAGGAAAGATCCCCTGTAAAAAAGAAAGAAAAGATTTCCCATTAGTAAAAGCAATTTGTGATGAGTATTTAATGTATACTAAAATAGAAGTCAGGCTGAAGTACTGAAATACTCTACCAACAACATAGTAGCTCTCAATGTAGAAAGCACTTCATATACTAATCAAGAATGCAGACTTAACAAATAATGTATTAGATAGGAATTTTATTATCACCTGCAATCAGTGTCTATCCTCAAGGAAAAACTATGATATAAAGCAACTAATTTGGGGGAGGAAGGCTACTCCCTGTGGTCTTTAGGCGGCACAAAAACACTGCAGTGCTCAGTGGGTCACACAGTGCTAGGGGTCAAATCCAGGGCTTCAAGCCATGTACCTCCAAATAGTTTTCTGTCCATTTGTATCTATTTAAAATTTTATTTATATTTTATTTATAATTTTTTCATTTTTATTGTAGTTGAGGTAACACAGTTTATTTTTATACTTTCAGAGTACAAAGTCACAGCCCTCCACTACCATCAAAGTGCGCAGACCTCTGCCACTGTCCAAGTGTTACTTTTAATCTTTTTAAGTCACTGAAATGTTCCATCAGATCATGACCACAATACAGACATAAACCTGGCACACACCTATAATGCCACTGACATGATCTGACCAGTAACTTTTAGACTATCCAGTTCAGAGGTGAAGAAACATTTCTCTGGTTAACATAAGTAGAACAGCACAGCACAGTCCCCCCCCCCCCCCCCCGGTTGTTCATCGATTTGCTCGAGCAAGCCCAGTAATGTTTCCATTGTGAGACTTGTTGTTACTGTGTTTGGCATATCAAATACATCACGGGGAGCTTGCCAGGCTTTGCCATGCGGGTGAGATACTCTCGGTAGCCTGCCGGGCTATCACCAGCCCCATAGCCCCACCTTTTAAAAAAAAGTTTTCTTTTTAAAAAAACATAAGAAGATAAAAATGCCAAAAATGTCAGCGATCTTTCAGACATCTAAATAAACATAACATCCAAGTTACAGAGACCCCAGAAGGAGAAAAGAGAAATCTGGGGGAAGGGGGTTTTTTTTGGCAAGAAAATTACAGCCAATGGGGCTGGAGCAATAGCATAGCAGGTAGGGCGTGCACCTTGCACGCAGCCAACCCAGGTTCAATTCCCAGCATCCCATATGGTCCCCTGAGCACCACCAGGAGTAATTCCTGAGTGCAGAATTCAGGTGTAACCCCTGTGCACTGCTGGGTGTGACCCAAAAAGAAAAAAAAAGAAATTATAGCCAAAAACTTCCACAATCTGAAGATCATATTGATAAAAATTCTAGCTATCTGATTTTAATTTATATAACTTGAATCAAAAAAGCAACTGGTATTTCAACCATTTAAATTCTTGTAGTTCAAAACTTTTGAAAATCTCTTTATGTTTAATAAAATCAAGTTTTAAATTATAAAGCTAAATGTGAAAAAAGTAAACACAAACACACACCAAGATATAACATAATTAAAATGGAAGAGGCAAAGAGACAGATATTACTGCCAGCAGTGAAAACAAACCCAAGCTTTATCTAAAAGGAAGCGCCCATAAAAATCACAGCTGTTGGGGCTGGAGTGATAGTACAGTGGATAGGGTGTTTGCCTTATACACAGCCAACCCAGGTTCAATACCCAGCTTCCCATACGGTCCTCCAAGCCCTACCAAGAGTAATTCCTGAGTGCAGAGCCAGGAGTAACCCCTGGCTCTGCACTGAGCATTGCTGGGTGTGAACCAAAAAAAGCAATAACAACAAAAAAATCACAGCTGTTATTTCAAACAAAACCTTACAGACCAAAAGGTAACTGTGTAACATATATAACACACTAAAAAATAACAGCCAGTCAAACAAAATTATTTCATCTATCATTCAAATTCAATCGTGCAATATATAACTTTACTGACAAGTTATACAAAATTTTGTTCAGTAAACCAAGACTAAATGGTCATTTAAGACACACTAACTGGCCTCATATAAAAGGTTAAAGAGACAAAACTGGCTACAGAAACCACCCACACAAAGAAAGTATTAAATTCCTTTATTTCATTCATATGTTTTAATGCCAATGGCCTGAACTCCCTAACTAAAAGGGATAGGGTGGCTGTATGGATCAAAACACTAAATCCGACTTTCTTCTGCTCTCTAAAGATTCATGTGAAATGCCATGATAAACACAGATTCAAAGTAAAGGGCTGGAGAATATGATTATGATAAATACTATAAGCAAATTAAAGCAGTGATGACCATACTTCAATAGACAAAACTGACTTCAATAGAAAAGGGGTATTAATAGACAGGGACAGACATTATATAATAATCAAAGGCTCTGTACACCAAGAAGACTTAAAACTCATTAACATATATGTTGCAGCACAATCCCACCATCAGTTATCAACTTCCTTCACCAGTATTACAAAGTTCCCTTCCATTCCCCAACCGACCCAGCCCCACAGCCCGCCACCTTGACAGGCACATCTTAAAATTTAGTGCTTGTAGTTTGGATCTCATGTTTTCAGTATTGTTGAATCTGTGGTTTGAATATACAAATATACCACTCCCCCACATTACCAATGTACCTAGACACCTGTTCCTCTATTACCTTCCTTTCTCATCTTCTCCCTTCTCTCTGCTCAAGTTCTTTCTTTTTCTGTCCTCCTCCCTGTACTCTGGGGTCAAAGGTGATCTAGGAATCCTCTTTTGAAAATATTGCATTCCTTCATCCAGTTATTCCATCTACCACAAATAACTGAGACTGTCCTCTATTGGCCTTCTTCACTCAACTTGGTATCTTCCAGTTCCATCCACGTGCAGCAAAATGCATATTTCATCATTCTTTGCAGCTGCATAGTATTCTGTTGTATATACATACCACATCTTTATAATCTGTTCATCTGTCATTGGATACCAAGGTAAGTCTTTATCTTGCTATTGTACTGAGCGCTGTAATGAGTAACAGCGTGCATATTTACTTTGTAGTTTTTTTTAAATTTTTTTTATTGAATCACCATGAGATACACAGTTACAAAGTTGTTCATCACTGGGTTTCAATCATACAATGTTCAACACCAGCTCCTTCACCACTGTGCAATTCCTATCAGCAATGTATATCCCCAATATCCCTCATGTCACTCTCCACCCCCATCCCAGTCTGCCTCTATGGCAAGCACTTTTCCTCTTCCTCTCTCGTTCTCTCCTCCTTTCCTACCAATCCCCATTGGGCATTATGGTTTGCAATACAGGTACTGAAAGGTTATCATATGTATTCCTTTACCCAGATTCAGAATTCAATTCTTGTGCAGAGTAATAATTTCCAACTATTGGTGTCATCGTGGTCCCTTCTCTATCCTAACTGCCCTCTCCCTCCCCCCATTCCCCCCCACACACACACACACACTCACATACACTTGTGGCAAGCTTCTGGCATGGACCAGTTCTCCTGACCCTTGTTTCTACTGTCCTTGGGTAATAATTTCATACTACGTGTTTTATATACCACAAATGAGTGTAATCATCCTATGTCTATTCCTCTACTTGTGATTTATTTCACTCAGCATGATACTCTTCAGGCCTATCCATTTATAATCAAATTTCATTACTTCATTTTTACTGGTAGCTGCGTAGTATTCCATTGTCTACATGTACCATGGGCTGGAACGATAGCACAGCGGGTAGGGCGTCTGCCTTGCACGTGGCCGACCAGGGTTCAATTCCTCTGCCCCTCTCAGAGAGCCCAGCAAGCTACCAAGAGTATTTCGCACGCACGGCATAGCCTGCCATGCTACCCAAGACATATTTAATATGCCAAAAACAGTAACAACAAGTCTCACAATTTGTTGTGAGACATTACTGGTACCCACTCGAGCAAATCGATGAACAATGGGACGACAGTGACAGTGACATGTACCATAGTTTGTTTACTCAATTGTCTATCCTTGGACACTCAGGTTGTTTCCAGATTCTGGCAGTTATGAATAGTGCTACAATGAACCATAGACATTTAGATGACATTTCTGCCACATGTTTTTAGGCCTCTTGGGTATATTTCTAGAATTAGTATAGCTGGGTCATATGGAAGCTCAATTTCTAGTTTTTTTAAAATGTCCATATTGTTTGCCAAAAAGCTGGACCAGTCAGCATTCCCACCAACAATGAATAAGAGTTCCTTTCTCCCTGCATAAGTACCAGAACTGGTTGTGCTTGTACTTTTTGATGTATGTCAGTCTCTGTGGTGTGAGATGATATCTCATTGTTGTATTGATTTACAATAGCAAATCAATAGCAAATTATGAATAGCAATGTAGAGCATTTTTTCTTTTACCTTTTGACCATTTGTATTTCTTCTTTGAGGAAGTTTCTGTTCATTTCTCCCCATTTTTTTACGGGGCTGGATGTTTTCTTCTTGTAAAGTTCTATCCATGCCTTATATATCTTTTGATATATACCCCTTATCAGAAGAGTATTGGGTAAATAAATTTTTCCATTCCATGAGTGTCTATATCTTGATCACAATGTTTCTTTTGAGGTGCAAAAGTTTCTTAGTTTAATGTAGTCCCATTTGTTTATCTTTGCTTCTACTTACTTGGTCTGTGGTGTTTCATCTTTGAAGATGTCTTTAACTTCAATGTCATGGAGGGTTCTGCCTACATTTTCCTTCCTGTACCTTATGGATCCAGGTATGATAGTGAGGTCTTTAATCCATTTTTATCTGACTTCTGTGGATGGCATTAAAAAGAGGCCTGATGGGGGTATGGTGCCGCCAGCAGGTCAGTTTATGCTTGTGAGGCAAGTGTATCAGCAGCCTGATGGCACCGTCAAGCTTTCAGATACCCCAAAATTGCTGCTGTGCCTTTGGCCAGACCCCAAAAACTTGGGGCAAAGTTTACCAAGAAAGTAAATGGCCAAAAGTTAGGTATGTGGGAGACACACCCACAAACCACCTCTGGCTCAGCTATATAATTGGAGGCATGGCCTCTCTGGTTCTGATCGAAC